TATATTTACTTACAATGAAAATCGATAAATGTAAAGAAAATTCCGCTTTTCAAAGTCTTTTTTCTATTCTTTTTCTCTCTTTCGTCTCCCCTTTTATTGCTCTTTCATGAGATTTTCAGCTGATTTTATTGATTTTTCTTCAATGCGCTTCTGACCTTCCTCTTGTATCCAACGATAATGCACTGTGCAACTTCTCAACTTACACACCTTAAATTTTTTTTGCACTCACAAATTAATTTTTGATTTAAATTCTCGTGACTTTATGCTTAAACAATTAATTAATTTACTTCACTTGACTTCATGAGAAAATTGTTTAATCACAAAAATTTATTTTAATATTTTCCGTTTCCTGTAATTTAAACTCACATCATAATTAAAAACTTTTTCAAATTTTTTTCTTCATATAATCACGAGCTCTACGGACACACATTTTGACATTTTCACAACTTTTCTACGAATGAGCAAGAAAAGATTGTAAAAATTACATGAGGGAAAATTGGGTACCAGAATTTTTCCTTTTCATTTCCAGCTTTCCAATTGCCTGTGCATATTGGAAAGCTCATTTTCAGGATGATATGAAGAAAATCGTAAACATAAACAATTGGAAGAGATAAAAGCACGTGGAGATAGAAATATAAAATCATAAACATTGCACTGGATTGGCTATTCTTCTGTCAAGATAGATTTTATATTTTTCCATTGCCATTCCATCTATGAAGTCTATCTAGCATGGAACATCCTGTTTTCCACATTTTCATTTGATGAATGCCATTCATTAATAAATTTTTGGTTATTTGCTGTTGAATTTATGGATGTAAGGTGTTGACTTAGTAAATTGAAATAATATTCTGGATAACTATTTACAATATAATTGCTATATGTGGGAGAAAGTACAATTGTGATATCCTTACAATGTTTGGATGTTCGGTCTTTTGCGTCATGTAGAGATATTGCTTAAGGCTCGTATCTATATTAAGCATTTGCAAAAATATTATCCATAAAAACAATAACATCATAGAATGTCGTAGGAAGAATAATATTGATGCTTTGAGCAAGTTAGGACATATTTACTGGTAACATTTGATCTTTTGAAGGAGCCTTCTGATAATTCTTTGTTTTGACACTCACTTTGAGCTATGCTCCTCGATCTAAGAACTTACATCGGAACACATTAAGGCAAGATAATATAAATTAATATTTAAAAAACCAGACAATAATTAGAATTCGATCCCAAAAGAGTAATTCATTAATAACGTCTATCAAAAAACAATATCAAATATTATCCTTGGTCTCTAAAATATCAGATGATTCTTCAATAAACGAGTCCACACTTAACCTATATGTTGAACAAACTTATCCTTTGATAAACATCATAATACCAAGCAACAACCACATTTTATGACCATAATAAGAACAATATCTTGAACTTTAACATCAATTATTGTTTTCCATCCTTTCTGATCAAATAGAAAGTTATGTAAAAAGAAGGAAATAATGAGAAACGTATTCGATATTGTAGTTCAATATTATTATCAAATGCCTCGTTTTTAATAAAATATTCATAATCTTCACGATCCAGCAAGCAACAAGAGCGCAAATTTCAATCGAATACGTGATGAAAAATGAAAAGATTAAAGATTTTACTTCAATATGTGTTTTTTATGTATTTAAAATATTTAATGAATGAGATGAGGGATATAACTTTAACAGCTCGCATAATGTCGATTACAATACACAACACAGTCATATAAATAACCTTATTAAATCCTTAAAGAGCAATAATCTCGATTCATGAAACTTTATATTTGTGGAACTGGAACTGCTCTATCAGCAAACGATAGCGATTATTTCCACCACATAAATTCTAATAGAGCATAGAAAAAAAGAAAAGAATATCCCAACTTAATTAATACTCTCGAGAGTGCATCTTTCTCAGAGTCAAGAGATACAATTAAAAGACACAAAAAAAAAATAAAGATCCAAGAAGAATGATCCGAAATATTTTGGTATTTATGTGTGTCTCAGCTCACATAGTGCTGCTGTAATCTCATTTTATTCATTCATGTGTAATATCAACAGTAATAAAGATGGAGCAAGAACAAACTTTTACGACAAAATATTATCCTTACATTCTTGAATGAAGTTGTCGCTCTACATCTTCCACACAGTTTTTTCTAGCACAGTACACGATAAAACATGATATTTCGATTGGCTGCCTGATTGAATCTTTATCGTCTTTTTGCAATATCTGATAAGTTGTGTGCTAGTTTGTTCCAAAACGTGCAAAATTGGTTGTTATTCCATGTTGACACTCTGAATAAAAAACATCATAAATCTCAAAAGTTTACCGAAGTCACTCCATAGAAAAAAAAAATTGTCCATTTTCATCTTATATAGTTCGAAAGGACATATATGTGCACAGCTCGACGTTAGGTCATTAAATATTGTAGACTATTAGGAGGCTGCTTTTTGTGCTTCAACTAAGGATGGAAAATGATTATTGGCAAGTTATGGAGTATTTTGGCAATATATTTCGGTAGAGTGATCAAATGAATAGGATAGCATCGGATGGGAGTTCAACAAGTTGACCCAAGACTGTCAAAAAATTTGAATTTCAAAAGTTCGTTAATTTTCAATATAACTTGTCCCATGAAATTTAATTATAATTCGACTACGAAGTCAATCCAACTCAAATAGTTCCTCAATTTTCCATCCCAACATCCATAAAAAGCGTTCCTAACAAGCACTGAACACCCATACTAGTCATCGTCTTTTTTTTTTGTGAATAAGCATCTTATAATGTTACTAGTAACCCCATTTAATATGACATTTTTTTCCTAGCATTAGCAGGACGAAATGTGAGTGGGTAAAATAATGAAAGAAAATGAATTGAAATAAAGTTTTGCTGCTGATGGTGCTTAACATCTCTCAGTAGCTCTTTGTCATGTTGAAAGCTTTGGTAAAACATACATATGGGTGCTTTAACAGCCAACCGCTGCAGCAACACATTTGTGGTGATATATTATTAAAAAAAAGGTTATTTTTTTTAAAAAAAAAAGGAAGCCTTTCAACAATTCTGTTGATAAAATATGAGACTGATTATCGGGATAAAGGTGGATAAAATTGTGCACTCAATTGACCTATTATATTCGGTAAGGCAAAAAGACATTAAGTTATTTTGATAACGCCTTAAACAGAATGAAATTTATATAACTTAATCCCAAAGCTAATGCACGCTATCCCGTTTTTATCTTGATTCCATTGTTTTATTCAATTTTTCGCTCATAAACGCACCCTCAATACATGCTACGCACATTATATTTCAATAAGATCCCCTTTTACCATTTTCTTCTTCTTACTTCCTTTCTCTTTTATAAAAGGAGAAAAGTACATATGTACAATGAACATTGGAAGGATGAGATTGGCACAGAAGGGGGCCTACGGATTATATAATTGTTTGGTTTTAGACAAATTCTTATGTTTTTTCTTCAAAGATTTTTCAAAAGTTTACTTCAAACAACAATGAAGCTATTCAAGACGAGGACCCCCACCTGTAAATGGCTAAAAAATGAAGGGTATGAGAATGGAATGCCATAAATAAATCTTAATTTTCACCTCCAAGCATAGCAAGAGCATCGCGATGATATATATAAACCATTATTGTTTTCTTTTATTAAATCGCAAGTCATAAATTTTACAAGTATTCTCATGAAAGGAGATAAGGAAAGTATACAGCATAAGAACAAAATAAAGTGAGGTGTTGGACGATGAAGAACAAAAAGGGAAAAAAGTACTAAAGAGACCCAACATATATCAACAGGAGCAAAGACAATGCAACAGAAGAATTGCTAATATGTTGAAGTAAGCAAAATGATGTCAAGTGATAAGTAAGAAGTTTTAGGAAACATCCATTAAAAATAGCCAATTCCCAAATTGAAAAAAAGAAAACGTGTCTTCTATTAACTTCAATTATAAGATGTGTAGATAATATCTCCTAGATCTCAAGAGATACTTTCTTATTTAAGTCATCATTGAGTACATAAAGCATAAAGATAGGGAAAGAATAATGATGTTATTAATGAGCGATAATAAACAAAAATGTAAGGAGAATTCAGAGATTTTTCATCTCCTGATTTATAGCTCTGCATTAATTCCATAAAAGAAACATAGTGTGTTCAGCATCTTTGATATTAAAAAATTATGCTGCACACGTTAATTTCTGGTGCACGCACGCTGAGTTTTAACGGTTTTTTGCGAATTTTTTGAATTATTTTATTCTAGTACTTTTTTCCCATCGAACAGAGTTGTAACTTTAATACAAAAAAAAGTTTCTTATCGTTTTGAATATTGAATTCAATTTTATGAGCCCCCCTCCCCCAAATGAATGATTAAAAAGAGACCTTTAAGGGGCCGTTTGCATTTTAGGGGGGAGGGGGGGTTTAAAAATTGTACCAAAATGTAACATAGGGGGGGGGGGTGTCAAGAAGTATGTTACGTTCATGAAAAAAATTTGTTTACAAATTCACACCAAAAACATTTTTTTTTAAAATTTCCACCTTTTTTATGAATTATGAACGTTCAGGGGGGGGGGGGGGTTGTGAGTTGTAACAAGGGGGAAGGGGGGTGAAAAGAGTCGTTTTTTTGCGTAACGTAATAAGTGACCCCTAACTTGATCAGCAAAAAATAAGACAAAGAATCCTTACTTTATTCAAAAATCTATCGAATTTTTAAAAATTCAAATACCTATTCAAAGGGGAAATTGACTACGATTTGTTTTAAAATATTCAAATAAAAAAAGGTCCGTTGAAGCTTAACTCACAACAACAACAACAACAACAAATAGCAAAAACTGGGAATATCCAAAAAAAGAATTAATTGTCTTAAGCTGCAAAATAGATAACGGATTTTAAACAACAAATTATGTGCTACGTGAGTAATCTTGCTTTTGCAGAAAGGGCGTATAGGAAAGTTGTGTATATATATTTTATGCCTATTCTCTTTGTAAAACGAGTTCTCAGATTAGTTATTGAGTAAACTTTGAAAAGAAAAGTTGACAGAGATGTAAACACGAAATAAATAATTACCAAAACCAGAAACACTTGAAAATAATCAGAAATTAAGGAAAATCGTAACAAAAAAGGTGAAAAAGATATCAACAAAAAGTAAATAAAGAAAAAAATCAACAAAAAGTTAAAGTAAAGAATATCTTTGTGAATTAAACTAATAAAAAGTGCAATGCAGAGATCGAATAGATTATTTACAACAGTTGTCCTCGCAGGTATGTTCATTTTATTTCATATTTGTGCTAAATTTATCGCTCATAAATTTTATGCGTGCCTGTTCGTTTGAAACTTTTGCGAGAATTTCGTCTAAATTTACTTCAAATTTGTGTACCTTATTGTATGCGGCTAGTGATACACAATTGGAAGTCATCATCCCATTCGTTCTTATCAATCGTGCAAATACATTATAAGAAAATATTAAAATGAGAGCAAATTCGCCTCAATTAAAGTGCTTTATGTAATATATAAGCTATGAGCTTGGCTGGTGCACATTTCAAGTTTCTTAATTAAGCCTGCATCGTGCTAAATTAAATAAATAGAGAGAAAATGTTCAATAGAAATTTTTTGTGTTGCTCTTAAAAATTTACACAATCGCCGGCTCTTGTCATCGTTTCGAGTAGCCATAATTTATAGAGTCAATGCCAAAATGATTACTTGCTCTTCTTAAAAATTTCCTCTTTTTCTATTTTGTTATAAATCATGAAAAAATGCGATTGTTGATAAGGTACAAAGTATTGATAAATCGGTGATTACCAGCAAGACAGAATAAATGGAAAAGTTGTGTAATACTCAAATTTCTATCATTTTTATTTGTTGATAAATTGGAAATAGAAACAAGCAATTTTCTGTGTGACGTGACAGTTTGCTTGCTGTTTATTCAGTTATTTTTAACTCCACGCATTCATTTACTCTTCTCAAAAGAAAATTGGTGCAGAAAATTAAAGCGAATTTTTTTGGCAGTGCAACAGATGGCTGTGTGTGAAAATGACTACCTCAATAAACTTTAAGAATGACATTAAAAAAACAATTTTTAACGACTTTCAAACATTCAAATTCTAACAGCTTTCAAAAATTCAAATATTGGTTGATTTTCAAAAAATTCAAAATTTAACGACTTTGTTCAAAAATGTTAAGACCCTACAATCCCAAATTACCAAAGTGATCCACAAAATATCCTCCAAGGTTCAAGAATCTTAAGAAAAAAGTATATCACACAAGCCTTATCCGAATAAATCATCGAGTAGTTTTCCTATATTTAAAATAAGATTGTTTGCTCTCTCCACAAAAAATCATCAGTGCCTGTGTGTTATCAGCACTGAGAATAATATTTCTCTTTACACACGACGTATGATGATTTATCAATTGTAGAAAATAGACATGTATGTAAATTAGAAGCAACAATAATGGGGTACTTAAGAGAATAATCGAAAAAATAGTCTTGACCTCCCAGCTTGCATAATCTTGTGTTTGCTCAACTCATACAATCATGTCGAGCCTCCAAAAAAATAAATTCTTTATTGAATTGCGTTACTAATTTGTGTGTGGATTTACGATTTATTTTGAAATAACGTCATGGGAAAATTTCTCATTGTTACGCGGTCCTATTATGATCCCTTAAGACACGATATATCCCTTATCATATCATCGTTTAATTAATGGAATTAAATGAGGATCATATCCATTAATTTCTCAGTTTCTGGGTATTTTCAATGCTAAATTAAATATAGTCTGATAGATAAAAATGTTTAATCCTCTGGTGATTCTGACATTGAAGCACGTAACGATGATAATTACGGTGCATATTTTATAAATAATTAAGCTAATCAAACTGATCCACATGCCTATAATATTCAAAAACAACAAACTATTTATTCGAGATCTTTCCTATAAATTTTTTTTCCAGGCTTCCGTAGAAATGCAAAGAGAGCAACGACTCAGGCGCTTTTAGCTTCAAATAACAACTATCCTGTCTATAATGCTGTACAGAGCAAGTCAACATATGTAAACAACCACTCATTTCATTCGCATGCAAAGAACAACAAATTGCGCATCAAAAAAGTCTTGATTGTGACAAAACTCACGCGATATGAGTTTGAGATGTTAAGACATCCGAATTTGGATAAAAATCAATTGGAAGAGAAAGTTAAGAATCGAGGAACTGATTATGATTCACTCATGTATTACCATAACTTGCATAAAACAGTAGAACGTAAGGTTGTTGATAGCTTTACTCAAATGGGTGTAGAAGTGAAGGTTGTCAATCGAATCACAATCAATAAAGAATTATTACAATGGACTGACCTTATCGTGCCTGTAGGTGGCGACGGGACATTTTTATTAGCCGCATCTCGAGCTACACCATTCTTCGTAGAAAATTCCGTCCCAATTGTAGGCTTTAATTCTGATCCTCTACGATCGGAAGGTCGATTAATGTTACCAAAACAATATACATCAGATGTCAATGATGCAGTTAAGAAGATTATTAAAGGAGAATTTGACTGGATGCATAGATCACGAGTTAGAATTACACTGCTCAAATTTAATGGAGATACGCCAATTCCTTTTGACTTACACGAATTTAATCCAGCACCAGTAGAGCATAAAGAACTGATTGTATCGGAACCAACACTACTGGATCAAATTAATGGAGGTGCATTTTATCCTGGAAAGAAAACGAAAGCTACTAAGAGAATGCTTCCATATTTAGCACTTAATGAGGTATGTATAGCGGCTATTTTTAGCAAAATTAAATTCATTCTCTGATTGCTGTTTATTATTACTTATTATTGGGGGTCTCATCCGACTGATAAGAACTTATTTTTCCTACTCCGCATGATTCTACGTAGCTAAGCTGTTATTTATTATTTCATTGAGTTTTTCTTCTTTTGTGTACATAAATCATCTTTTTTTGTCGACGTCCTTCCTTCCAAAAATTGTCATGCGATTTATGTGATTAAAAAAACCAGTAGAATTAAGGAATCAATTTATTTGATAAGTAATTACCTGATAAGATTTCGGAATAACCCAATACGATAATATCCATCTGCGTAAAGATAGCAACAGATAATTACTAAATGCTAGCGTCAAGGCTAAAAATAATATTTTGTGGACATGATAGCTGACATGTTACTCATACTTTACATTGTTTTTTGTAATTAAAGGTTTTTATTGGAGAAACGTTATCAGCACGAGTGTCTCATCTCCACATTCGACCTAATACAACACAAAAAATCACAAAAACAAAGAGTTCAGGACTGTGTGTATCGACAGGAACAGGTTCAACGAGTTGGCATACCTCTATCAATCGCCTTTCTAAGAAAAATGTCGAAGACTTGCTCAACATTCTTAAAAATGGCTCCAAACTCGACTTGAATGGCCTTAATGCAGAAGCAATTTCAGAAATTTATAATCAACAGCTGGTTTTTGAGCCGGGTAAGTAAATAAACATGCTTTAAACAGCTTCGATGCTCATTTGCTGCGTTTTAAGGCAGTTGTTGTATAAATGACGGTCCTTTTTTGAATTAAGCTATAATCGTTCAGTAATCTTGACTTCATTTCAGTTCAATTCATTTGAATTTTTAATAGCCGTTAAGTTTTTAATTTTAAAAATTGTTAAAAACTATGAATAAGCTTTTAAAAACAAACAGAATTGAAATGTATTTTATGGACCGTTTAGGCAAACGAGCGAGAAGAATAGATTAGATAATGTGAGTTTAATAATAACGTGTGACTTTTTAATTCGCAGATGATCCAAGATTGTGTTATTCAATAAGAGAACAAATTTGTGTTGGAGTGTGGCCTAATCCAAAAGGTAAATTAATCTGCTTATATGCTGCATAAAAAAGCAATACTAATTGATTATATTTCATTTGTTATCTTAGGTTTTGAATCACGTGATTTTGCGCAAAACTTGTACGTGAAAAGTCGATGCTTTGATGCAAGTAAGTTTAATTAAAAACTTGTTATTATGGAATAAAGTTATTGATTCTAGATCTTTCATCTTGTCTTTACAGGCTTAGTTATAGATGGTACAATTTGCTATCCATTCAATGACGGAACCAAAGCTTTCTTAGAAGTTTTACCTGAAGACGCTTTATTAACGATGAAGATAGTAGATTAAAAATGAAATAGTAAGCTAGCTATGCTGTTTTACACGTGATATTGACCTTTCTCATACCTTACATATGATGCATTTGTTTTTATAAAAGAATTACTGTATACTATAGGATATTATTTTTGACTGATAACAGTCAAAAGTTTAAGGAACTATTGTTCATAACAAGATCATATTTATAAATTATTTTTACTGTTAGACGACTAAGCACTAGACTTAGTAATTTGTGTATAAAGAATTTTTTATTTTAAAAAAAAAATGATGCAAACTCAATAAAATTACACATTAATTAATGAATTTCAAGTATTTTCTATATTATTTTTCTGACTTTTGCTTTCTCGAGGATTTCTTTATAGCTTTAGCTAAATCAGCAGAATTGGGCAGAGTCTTCTTTACTTTGAAATCTTTTCTTGTTAAGTCTACTTTCTTGAACTTTTTCTTTTTTTCCTCAACATTTTTAAACCTGTTGTCTTCAATTGCTATTTTTGGCTTATCATTTTGTTTCTCAACCTTACGTGATGCTTTTCGTGCCTTAATCCTTCTTTTAATCTCCTTTTGCCATTTAGCTTCTTCTTCGTCTGGATCTTTGCCTTCTAATATCCATCTTTTCTTTCTATAATTCTCAATTCTTTCATCAAAATCATCATTATCGACTTTTGTCTCAGCTTCATGAATAGCTACACTGACTTGCATAAAAATTCTCTCAACTAGTCGCTGGTCTATAAGATGTTCCTTAAGTTCTGTATTAATTAAGCCTTCAATTTCAGCTAGAAAGTTCAAATCTCTAGGAAATCTGAAGATTGAGATAGCAAGTCCTTTTCGTCCACATCTAGCTGTTCTGCCCACACGATGGATATACTCATTAGGGAACTTCGGAAGTCGATGATTAAGAACTAGCTGTACGTTAGGAATATCAAGGCCACGACTAGCTACGTCTGTTGCTATTAGAATCCTTACAATATTTGATTTAAACCTGCTTAAAGCTGCTACTCTCTCTTTTTGCCTCATAAATCCATGCAAACAGACATTCTCTAATCCAACCGAGTTTAGAGCTATCGACAGTACTTGACAATCCCTTAAAAATGGATATTAAATTAATTATTTGATTTATTTAATTGACATTTCGACTTACTTCTTCTTGTTTGTGAAAATAATGATATTAGAGTCTGGATTGTCTTCCTTATATGATCTTACAATTTCAACAAGCACCATATCTCGGTCATAATCAGCACAAAGCACATATCTTTGATCAAGTGTATCTACAGTTTTAATAGTTGTGTCTTCAGACCATTCAAAAACGTCTTCAGAAATGGGAAACAAACTTGATTGCTTAAAAGATTCCTTCATTGTGGCTGAAAAGAACAAATTTTGACGTTCTTTTGGAAGAAATCTCTCGATAACTGTTAGTGCTTCATCAAAACTTCCACTTAATACTCGATCAGCTTCATCAATAACAAGGAACTTAATAGATTCAAATGAGAGTGTATTACATCCAGTTAAATGAGACTCTAAACGTCCTGGCATAGCTACGATTATATGTGGACGACTTTGAAGCCTTAAACTTTCCTGAATCTGATCAGTTCCTCCGGAAATTACACAAACTCTTAAATTCATTGGTTGTCCAGCAACTAGAAACTGTTCAGATATTTGATACGCTAATTCATGTGTTGGAGTCAGAATTAATGCAAAATTATGTGTTGGTTCCTCTGATAATTTCTGAAGTATAGGCAGTGCGAATGAGAACGTTTTGCCTGATCCAGTTTTTGCAGCTCCTATGCAATCTCTACCTTTTAACTGAATGAATCATTAGATAACTTAATTAAGGCACAGATTTAGCGTAATTTTTAACTTACAATTTCTGGAATGCATTTTTCTTGAATTGCTGTTGGTGATTTCAGCCCTAATTTCTTCATTTGTTTGCAAATCCACTGACTGCATCCTAAAGACTCAAAAGTGTTGCTACTAGTCATGTTAAACCTGCTTAATTTAATTTATTTTGATATTTTAAAGAATTTTTCGATTGTTTTGATTGTGGACACATGGCAGGGTACCAACAACTTTAGGGGAAAACAGCATAGTAAACAAAAATTCTAGTTTCTAAAAAGTCGTTACTTATATTAGTATTTGTTTAATATCTTAATTATTTTTCATTAAACAAACATTTATAATTAAATAGGAAACTTTAAATAGCTTAATACAAACAGTAAACTTTAAAGAAGAATCAAAAATTTCTTTGATATCAAACTTAAATTAACGGTTGTAGAAAATTTGAATTACGAAAAAATCAGTTGACTCTAGAATATTTTTAACGGTTGAAACTGAAAACTTCGAAGTGAGATTTTTATTAATTTAGTAGTAATTTATAGTTTTAACGATGTCCACGTTATCAGCATTAGCTAAGTTTGATGACTTGATGAGATGCCAAAAGGAACTGAGTGGAGGTGGTGCTGAAGAAAGTGAGTAAATCAATAAAAATAAATTATCTGGATGTTTTTGAAAAAAAAAAAATTATGTTTTTATCTTGAAACGAAATAGAGTTCCTGATATATCTCCATCAATTTGAATTAATTAAGCATGATTATCAGCGAATGGTTGATGAAGCACAAGACATTCAGGGGAAATTAGATTTACAGACCCAACAAACAATCTCAATTGAACGAAAATTAAATTATGCTCGTAAAATGCTTGAAACGGAAAGAAAAGCAAGGCGAGATGCCGAAAATGAGAAGGTACAACTTGAAACAAAACTCGATTCGTTGAGAACATTGTTGATTAACGATAATACGATGAAAGATGAGACACGAAAACACTTACAAGTATTAAGTACATTTGCTAAAAAGCGTAAATCAAATCATCAAATTGACGAGGAAGAATTTAATGACATTAACTCAACTGGATCTTTCCTGTCCGACTTATCACTCACTCAATCTGGTGATGATATTCTTGATCCAAAACCTATTGCACACGGTCCACAAAAATGGAAGAAACATCGTCCTTCACTTAATAACAGTAACATCCTTAATGTCAGCAATAAGAATCGTTTGAGTAGCGATAAACGTCGCAGCACTAGGCTGAGCATAATGGATTTTGGACCTAATGATAAAATTGTAACGCAAACTAAATTGACAATTCCTGCAAATAAATATGCACCGATTATTGCTGAGGCATCAATTGAACCAGTTCCAATGACATCATCTGATGAAGATTTTAAGCAGTATTATGGATCAACACCACAACCTAAGAATATCATCCAGAAAGAAGAATTTAAGACACCAATGAAGACGCCAACGCCCATAATTCATAATTTACCAAAACAAAAATACTTTACCCCAACAGCACCAACTTTACATGAGATTAATAATCTTCATGAGGAACTTTATGCTACGGTTAAGAAGAAGACAGCAACAATTAGCGGAAAACCACATCATTTTTCATCCAAGACATTCCTTAAACCTGAATCATGTGGATTTTGCTCGAAGAAAATTCGATTTGGTTCTGTTGCTTTAAAATGCTCTGAATGTCGAACATGCATTCATCAAGATTGTCGCGAAAAGTTTACCATTGCATGCTTACCACAAAATACAACACCAAATGCTGTAAAGACACCGAGATTCTTAGGAACAATCTCTGAATATAGTCCAAGTATTGCTCCTATGGTTCCCGCATTAATTGTACATTGTGTTAATGAGATTGAAACGAGAGGATTAAATGAAGCTGGTCTATATCGTGTTAGTGGAAGTGATCGTGATGTTAAGGCTTTAAAGGAACGATTCTTGAAGAATAATGGCATCCCTAATTTACAAGAGATTGATGTTCATGTACTCTGTGGTTGTGTTAAAGACTTTTTACGTTCTCTAAGTGAGCCATTAATTCCTTTAGCTTTATGGACTACATTCTCGAATGCAGCACAAACAATTCCAACTGATGATGACGAAAATGTCAATAAGGATGTTTATCGTGCTGTCGAAAGACTCCCACAACCTAATCGTGACACATTAGCCTTCCTTATTCTCCACTTCCAGCGAATTGCTGAATATCCTGAAGTCAAAATGCCTTTAACGAACTTTGCTAAAATTTTTGGACCTACAATTGTTGGATATTCATCAGTCAATCCAGATCAGCATACAGTTTTTGCTGAAACTCAAATTCAATATTCTGTCATGTTTAGCCTGCTCAGCATACCTACTGAATATTGGAGTAAATTCATAGTTCTCGATCAGTTCACAGCACAAGAACAGAAAAAGGCAATCGATAATTATGGCAGTAAATTCTATTCAGGTAAGAATCAAGTAAATAATTTTAATTATTCGAAACTTTCTAACATGTTAAGATGATTTTGTAGGCACACCATCATTTAAGTTTACGCGCAAAGATCGCAAATTCTACAATACACCGCCATACTCGGCAAACTCAAAGAAGAAGAAGTAAAAGCTGAGCTGGTTTTATTTTAACATGTACGCTTTTTATTAAGGTTGGCACATAAGCTAAGGCACTTACTTATAACACTTATTTCTTTTTTTAATTTTCATTACTTAAAAATCTTTATAAAATTTCTGAATGACTTAAAATATGTATCAGTTGTAACCTTGACTTACTTAAGAGCATAACATACAAAACATTGATGTATTAATTGTTTACTTATAAAGATGTACCGAATAAAGATTTCTCTTGGATCATTAACATAATCTTCATGTTTAAACTTTATGATGATAAATAATCAAGAGTATTGTCATAGTTTCAGCACTTCCAGTTGTCAAACTTATTGATCCTCGATCATTTTCATTCGAATCTGCATGTCCGACATGATTTGTTCCAACAAGTTTAGACGTGACATTATGTCTCCATTTCCATCCTTTTGTTCTTCTATTGCTTTGATTTTATTTTGGAGTTCTGCACAGTGATTTTTGAGGTGAAATATTTCCTTTTTGAGTGACATAATTTCAAGCTTGGATTCATCAATTTCACATCCATCGACTGTCTTTTGACATTTTTTCAGAATTTCCTCAAGCAATTCATTCAGTTGTTCTTTATTTCCACTCAAATAATTTTTGTCAATGCAAGTATTTTCGCAGAAATTGGCATCACTCAGGTTCTTTAAAGGCTTGAAAACGTCACTGCTAATGAACTTTAATTTATTTTTATGCAAGCTAAGAAACTTTAGTCCTTGACAGTTTTCAAAGACATCTGCATCTAGTGACACTATATTATTCTCAGGCAACCACAAACCTTTCAAATGTTCCAATCCAAAAAGATCCCGTTTAGTCAAGCTTGTTAATCCACATCTACGAATCTGTAGATATATCAAATTTGGAAAGACCTTAGTCAGTCCGAAAGGGATTTTTTTCAAATTTTTAATGTTGTCAATCATTAAGCCACGAACATCCAAGTTGGTCATTAGTTCCTGATGATTGCCAATTATTTCAATCGAGTTTAATGCTGGACTATATATTATATTCTTCACTCTACAAGTATATCCAGACTCGTTCTTTCCATGGCTATGAAATGTGAAGTTTTGAATTTGAAATTGACATTCAAGTTCCATCGCTAATCTACTGGATCTAGGTAAAAAAATTGAAGACTTTATTTTTTTAAAAAAGGAAATGTGAGCAGGAAGGATTATCATTAGATAGAAAAAAATGTGAGTTGAAGATTGCAAAGATAAGTAGGAATTGCCAGATTTAGCTTTAATAACTATAATTAAGTGATTAATTAATAAACTTACCGGAAAAATATGAGTAAACAAATTTAAGTGACAATATATTGCAAAAGAAATGCGATACAGCAACGTCTGTCTGTCTGTGGGCAAATCAGAAAATTTTGATTTGAAATGAATTTTTTGAAATTAAAGTTATGTTATTGAAGCTATGGTTCAAATTACAGCGAAAATGCTTAATTAATAACAAGCGGATCTATTCCATTAATGCGCGCGTTCATCGTCCGCAAATCGTCCATTAAGAAATGATCAGCTGCAAAATCACCAATGAATTCCAAGTCCTGTGTAATCCTCACAACATGTCTGGGTACCACATTATCCCTCTTGTGAAAATGATTTGGATGGGCATGCACAAAGAAATCCATACACTCAGGGTGAAAGCGTGAAAGGCCATCTTAGCATGGCCATCTTATAAAAGGGAAGATGCTGGATGGCATAAACAATTCCAATTCCACTCAATGTGCCTGTTATTAACATTGCAGAGTCAGATGCGAGATTTGCGTCAATGCAAAGAAATTTCGCTGCCTCTGTCAGCAGCATTTCAAAATTGTAATCCTTTTGGCTTGGGTCTGTCTTAAATACTGCCAAAACATTCGTTGATTGTATAGAACCTGTTGGATATCTGTCTGCGTGATTCATTAAAACAGCATTTTCCCCATCCTTATTTCTACCGTATCCACCCATAACACATTCGACTAAAAGAAGAAAGTTTAAAATAAGTAGGGCCTCGTCACAAATAAAAAGTAAGTGAGTAAAGCTATGTGTTTTCTTGTCTTTCTCTTTAAAAAATTTAAAAATATTTCGTTAACATACAAAAGTGAAAATAAAATTTAAAAAGTCAGGAAAAAGCTCTTACAATAGTCAAAACAGCTAGTGTATCATCTTAAATACTTCGTATTCAAATCATAATGATTCGGATTAATGATTGAATAAATAATTAATACACGTTGGGGGCCGTTCACTTATTACGTTACGCAAAAAAACAACTTTTTTCACCCCCCCCCCCCCCCCCCTCTCCCCCTTTGTTACAATATGTTACAACTCACAACCCCCCCCCCCCAAGACTAAGAAAAATAAAGGAATAATATGCTTGTGGATAATTTTGAACAATCGAGAGTAGGAATTTTAAGGAGCGTGAGTGTGTTAATTAAATTAAGGATCAAAATCAAACCAAAACCAGCTATATAAATCGTCCTGCTTATTTTACATACAATTTCCATAACCTAATTTGTCTTTTATTGTTCAGTCCATAAAGTCATGACTTAATCCGAGAGAGTTGCGAATAGTCATGAGCTTTATGGGCATTAATATATTTGATTGAAAAAGTTGGTGTTAAACAGAGGAAAGCAAATCAAGGATAAATGTCTACAATACACATAAGATGCTACATATGTATGCGAATTTATATGATATGAAGCATGCTGGACAAAGCCATTAATCCATAAACAATTACTAAATACATACCATCACGAACATCACCGGCCTCAATTTCCCAAACTTCATTAGCCAACGAGTCAAGACCTTCGTTTTGAGATAGAACTTTTGAGTTTCCGTAACCAGCTTGATTGTTTGATGATTTTGTTGTACGCCAGCCATTCTTAGAAAAGTTGTTTAAATTTGCACTTGGATCACTAAGTCGTCGTTGATGTTTTTGATTATAGCACTCGTCTAAATCATCTTCACATTCGGAATCAAACATATCGGTCATACAAAATCCAGGTTCAGATGTTGGTGTTTCAATTCCACTTCCTTTTGGTTTAGTCACTGCCATTTCTGCAAATCCTTTATTTCCCGGACCTTTCATTCGAACAAATTCACATCGTGTCTGCGGTGCTGAGTTAAATAATCCAAAAGTCATTCGTTGTGCCATTTTGGAACTTAAACTACTTTGTCGTGCATCATAAACCTTCTTGAGTGCGTCATATCTTATGGATCCTAGGAAAATAACTCCCTGAATACTTCCATCATGATCTTTAGCGACTAGTTCTACGCACACCATCTCACCGTCACGGACTAAAATGTCACTGAAAACCTCATCAAAATTATCGACCATGAAGCATATGTGCGGGTACGTAATCTCTTCAGATTCTCCTTTAGAGTCCATTTTTCGTCTAGAAGGACTAGCATAGACTCTTTGTGAATGTCTTTTTAAAATTTGAAGCTCTTTGGGCGATGTCCTTGTACAAATAGCAAGTGTCAAATAATAATCAAACTGATGAATCACACAATTCAGGTAGACTGTTTCCTCCCAGTCTACATCAGGGTCACCAATTGGAAGCTTCTTTGAATCCTTACGAAACACCTCAATTTCATCCTCATACTTTGGTTTACTCCGACTACTTTCCTTAATATACTTCTTTCGAACAAAAAATAAGAGATCATCAGAATCAATTGCGGCTTTTTGATGATTTTGGAATAAGAAATGTCTAACAAAAATTTCAGTCCATTGTGTATTCCCTTGCAGCACAACGAATCCAGAATCTATGGATATACGAAAAATTATGAGGGTTGGGGTAGTTGAAAAAATCGGAAAAATCAATAATTTTGTCGACAATGTAAAAACTTCATTTTTTTACCATCCTTCATCAAATTCCGCATTTCCTTTGTCCTCTGGTAGTTTATATCCTCTAATAACTGCATTAATGGCGATAATTTTACCAGAGCTCCCTTCAAATCCATTATTTCTTGACTATTTCACAATACGTCTTTTTTCGTGAAAATCTATTCAATTCTCACAGCCCCAACGATTTCTTTAAATGTCCCTTTGCATTTGTGTACTTTTATTTAAATCTATAATGTTTCTATAATTAATTAACTTTACATTCCGAAGAAAATCTTATTTATAAAAAATTTCTTCTTTATTTTGTCTTTTGTTCAAAAAATTTGAAGCGGGGAAGTCTACTCTTTTTTCTCCAAGCATGCAAAGTTGTGTTTGAGGTTTTGCGACAAGAGCGCACGCTGATCGAAAAAGTGAAAATTTTGTCAAAAATTCAGCTTATATGCTCATGTTGTAGACATTGGTCCCTGGTTTATGGGAAAAATAATTTTTTTTCCCTGGAAGTGTCTGGTCCACGAGAAAAGAAGGTTTGAATTTTTGTACTTCATGTAATTTTTATTTTTAAAATGCTATTGTGCTTCACCTACTTAGGGGCCGTTCACTTATTACGTTCGCACTTTAGGGGGGAGGGGGGTTTAAAAATTGTAACAAAATTTAACATAGGGGAGGGGGGGGGGGTCAAGAAGTATGTAACATTCTAAAGTAACAAATCAATAGAAAACTGGTTTACAAGACCTTAAAATACAATCATAATTTGTGGAAATTTTCAAAATTAAATCAATCATAAGTTTAAAAGTAAATCCCTCTAAATCTGTCATTCATATGATGATTAATATAATCCCATCATTGTGATATTTACATTCAAAGTTGATTGAATTTTTCAAAATTCGATCGGGCATAATATTTTTCATGACATTTTTGAATTTTCTTCAAAAAAAATAAATTTTTGCTTTATATCTTAATCCAATAATGAGAATACTAATAGTATCAATCAAAACATGACCTATTAAGCTGTCCAGTATTTTGATGTTTAAGAAAAAAAAAAGAAAAAAGAAATTTAACCGTCTTTTTAGATTTAAAAGAAATAAAATAAAATTATGTACGTTCAGGGGGGGGGGGGGGGGTTGTGAGTTGTAACATATTGTAACAATTGGGGAGTGGGCGTTTTTTGCGTAACGTAATAAGTGAACGGCCCCTTATCCGTTTGTCTCCAAATATTTTTTATTTGATAGGTATAAGTTCTTAATTAAAAACTTTTGTTGTGGATGTTAAGTACATTGCTTTTTGAATAAAACCTGAAAATTTCAGTTCCTTTCATTAAGACTGGTATGTGAAAATTCATTTTGAATTAAATTGCTGAATCGCATTTCTTTCACAAAATTTTGTCACTTAAATTTGTTTACAAACGTTTTACCGGTAAGTTTATTAATTAATCATTTACTTATAGTTATTAAAGCTTAATCTGCTAATTTCAACTTATCTTTTCGATCTTCAGCTCACTTTTGTTCTATTGAATAATAATTCTTCCTGCTCAAGTTTTTAAAGTCTTCAATTTTTTATTAACCTAGATCCAGTGGATTAGCGATGGAACTTGAATGTCAATTTAAAATTCAGAACTTCAGATTTCATAGCCACGGAAAAAACGAGTCTCAAGTCAACTATAGCAAATTCTTCTTAAACAAAATGTGGCAACATAAGATTCCATAATATGATAATACTGTCCACTTCAACGAACTCATCACCATTGACTATCTTTCTCGTCATATCTTTTTGCCCTGCTAGCGCATTATTTGGACCCATGGACAATTGCAGAATGTTTGATATGCTGCCGAATGAGCATGGCTTCCGAACAAATCTATAACGATATAACAAGCGGATCTATTCCATTAATGCGCGCGTTCATCGTCCGGAAATCGTCCATGAAGATATGATCAGCTGCAAATTCACCAATGAATTCCAAGTCCTGTGTAATCCTCACAACATGTCTGAGTACCACATTATCCCTCTTGTGAAAATGATTTGGATGGGCATGCACAAAGAAATCCATACACTCAGGGTGAAAGCACACGAAGAACTTCTTTCCTAATTGGATCAGAGTGAGTGTCATATTATACCTCCGTGCATATCGTCTAAAATCCACAATTCGGACTGTTACAGACCATCTTATCCAATTCCACTCAATGTGCCTGTTATTGACATTGCAGAGTCATATGCGAGGTTTGCGTCAATGCAAAGAAATTTTGCTGCCTAGGTCAGTTTGGCTTGGGTCTGTCTTAAATACTGCCAAAACATTCGTTGATTGTATAGAACCTGTTGGATATCTGTCTGCGTGATTCATTAAAACAGCATTTTCCCCATCCTTATTTCTACCGTATCCACCCATAACACATTCGACTAAGAAAGTTTAAAATAAGTAGGGCCTCGTCACAAATAAAATTTAAAAAGTCAGGAAAAAGCTCTTATAATAGTCAAAACAGCTAGTGTATTATCTTAAATACTTCGTATTCAAATCATAATGATTCGGATTAATGATTGAATAAATAATTAATACACGTTGGGGGCCGTTCACTTATTACGTTACGCAAAAAAAAAACTTTTTTCACCCCCCCCCTCCTCTCCTTCTTTGTTACAATATGTTACAACTCACAACCCCCCCCCCCCCCCCCCCCCCCCCGAATTTTCATAAATTATTTTATTTTGATAATTTTTTATTCTAAAATGACGGTTAAATTTCTTTTGTATTTTTTTTCTTAAACATCAAAATACTGTCCAGCTAAATAGGTCATGTTTTGATTGATACTATTAGTATTCTCATGAATTATTGGATTGTGATATAAAGCAAAAATTTGTTTTTTTTTTGAAGAAAATTCAAAAATGTCATGAAAAATATTATGCCCGATCGAATTTTGGAAAATTCAATCAACTTTGAATGTAAATATCACAATGATGGGATCATATTAATCATCATATGAATGACAGATTTAGAGGGATTTACTTTTAAACTTATGGTTGATTTAATTTTGAAAATTTCCACAAATTATGATTATATTTTAAGGTCTTGTAAACCAGTTTTCTATTGATTTGTTACTTTATATGACAAAAACTATGTATTGCTTAGCTATCAAAAGTGATCTTGACATTCATAAATCATTAAAAAGTTGGAAAATTTAAAAAAATGTTTTTGGTGTGAATTTGTAAACAAATTTTTTTCGTGAACTTTTTTTTAAAAGACAGACGACAATTAGAATGTTACATACTTCTTGACCCCCCCCCCCCCCCCCCCTCCCCTATGTTACATTTTGTTACAATTTTTCAAACCCCCCTCCCCCCTAAAGTGCGAACGAAATAAGTGAACGGCCCCTTGAAAAATCCTTAAAAAACGTTGAACCACATTATTATTTAATATATTATTATTATTTACTTACTTTTCCAGTACTGGGGGTCCTCGATTTGAGTAGTTGTTTTGTTCCAAAAAATTTCTACTCAAATCGAATCTATTCAAATCGAGGCAAAGAATCCATACAAAATCACATGTTTTGTTCCAGAGTCCAAAAAATGTATCAAAACAATGAAAATTTTGATAATTTTTTGCACATTTTACCTATTTTCTTAATTTTACCTATGTGTTTTAGATAACTTAATTTATTTCAACGCATATATTCATATTGTTTTTAAACAGAAATTCACAAAAAATATGTTTTTGAAACAAAACAAAAATATGAGAACCTTGCAAATGTTATTTAACCGAACAATTTGTAGGGTTTTTGAATTTGAACTTTTTAAAACCGTTAATTTTATATCGATTTTTTAAATTTTTACTTTAATTTTGTAACTTTAGTATTGATTTTTCGATCAATATGATAAGTTCACGCTTATTGCAGAAAAATTTATGTTTAAAAATATTTTCTGAAATGTTTTTATCAAAAATATTTGTTTTGTAAACAATTCAAATCGAAGAAAACAGGAAGAAATCTACTCAAATCGAATATTTTGGTGGGTAATAAATTTTCTGTTCAAATCGAATCTACTCAAATAGAATCTACTCAAATCGAGGACCCCCAGTATCCTTTGCCTTTCAATTGTTCCAAAACATTTTGGATCTGCTCGTTAGTCACGATTCCATCCAATTCAATATATAAAGTATGAGCATTCATGCGGTTTCCTGGAACTGCTTTCAAATGATTGCCTGGTACAAAAACTGTATATTGCCAGTCATGGTCTTCAGAAAATTGCTCAGTACTGATAGTGTCTCGTAAATATATGCTTGGATTCATAATTGTGTCAGGATCAAAACGACCTGGATTTTATATGGTTAGCACGTTTTGTCCGAGAATCGGCAATTCTGCTATAAGCCTTTCAAGTAATGCTTCATTATCATCCAATAACTCACCACCATTCAACGCAGGAACTTGTTGATCATCATTCAATACAGGTATTTCATAATCCAAAATTTCAGGCAGCACAGGAACATCATCATCTACATATTAACTCATCAATAAATATTTCAGGCACACGTTGATCGTTAACATCATCCAATTCAGGCAAAACAAAAGCATCCAAATCATCAGCGTATACTATAGGCATGTTTTCAAAATCAAATAATTCAGGCAGCACAGGATCAGCATCTATTAACTCATCATCCAATTCAGGTAAACGTTGATCGTTAACATCATCCAATTCAGGCATATCATCAGCATCCATATCATCATCATACGATACAGGCATGTATTCTTCATCCAAGATTTCATATATGTCATTAGCAGACTCCAATAGCTCATCATCAAATATTTCAGGCATGTCAACCAATAGCTCAGCTTCATCCAGTATTCCAGCATCATAAACAGGCATATCATCAGCATTAATATCATTCTCTACAACATTTATTGGTTCATCCGGATTGTTGTGATTATAAATCATCTGGGTCATGTCTATGATTTTTGCTCCAAAAGTAGTCTTGTACCTATTCGTATCAAGGTCACCGATACCATACTGCTCTTGATAATGAGTGAGTTTTAATAAAAGTGCTTGAACTGCACGGAGCCGTTTTGTCATATTCTCAAGTCCATTTTCACCTTCACAGCTATTATTGTCGATATCTACCTGCCATGACTTAACTTCCATATTTAATTTGTTTTTTAATCCTTTAAGTAGTTTTGCTATTTTAAATAGAGAAATAAGTACGTATGAATTATAACGCATCAATTAGAATCATGTTAAAAGAAATAATTGAAACATTTGTAAAGTTCATACATATAATTGATATTAAAGGAGTAGAATAAAAAATATATACATGATCCTGAAAAGTTTAAAAGTTTGTGTGATATTGGAAGTGTGAGAGAAAAAGTGAAAAGTATACCTAGGTCATTTTAACAGCGAATATAAAAAATATATATATCTAAGCAGAGCTAAATTGCTTTTGAGCACAAAATGAAACATCATGGAAATCTAATGTCTGAGGAGCTACATATTAATGCAAAAAGCTTGAGCAAGAATCATTAGTACCCGCTTATGGCTCAAAGTGCACCAAAAGCTTTAGCAGGGATCTAATAGAGATCCTAATTTTTAACAAAATATGTAGCATAGTTAAATGGCAAGTAAAAAGGATGAAAATCTAATGTCGTCATAGAAAAAACGTGGAAAAAAAATGTCTGAAAAGATAAAAACAGAATTATAGATTTTAATTGACATCTGCATCTAGTGTTACTATATTATTCTCAGGCAGCCACAAACCTTTCAAATTTTCCAATCCAAAAAGATCCCGTTTAGTCAAGCTTGTTAATCCACATCTACGAGTCTGTAGATATATCAAGTTTGGAAAGACCTTAGTCAGTCCGAAAGGGATTTTTTTCAAATTTTTAATGTTGTCAATCATTAAACCACGAACATCCAAGTTGGTCATTAGTTCCTGATGATAGACAATTACAATTCAATTTTTTTGACACAAAGACAAAAAAACTTTATGATAAAGCTCTCGTTGCTAACCAAAAACAAACAAACAGGAGTACAGGGGGTCCTCGATTTGAGTAGGTGTTTTGTTCCAAAAAAATCCTATTCAAATCGAATCTACTGAAATCGAATTATTTACTCTTTGTATGAAAAATGTCCGTTACAAAAAGCATTTTAAATTTTCTATTCATTAATTCTCGTTACTCAAATCGAGAACCCATAGTATTAATACAAAGTTAATATTTTAATTATATAATCGTCAATGATGTCTTCGAACCAGCAGCAACAGCAAAGACCACGTCGAGGTGACTAAGTGACCTTATAAGCGTCAATTAATGCATAATTTATTATGCATTAATCTATAATTTTGTTTTTATCTTTTCAGACATTTTTTTTCCACGTTTTTTCTATGACGACATTAGATTTTCATCCTTTTTACTTGCCATTTAACTATGCTACATATTTTGTTAAAAATTAGGATCTCTATTAGATCCCTGCTAAAGCTTTTGGTGCACTTTGAGCCATAAGCGGGTACTAATGATTCTTGCTCAAGCTTTTTGCATTAATATGTAGCTCCTCAGACATTAGATTTCCATGATGTTTCATTTTGTGCTCAAAAAGCAATTTAGCTCTGCTTAGATATATATATTTTTTATATTCGCTGTTAAAATGACCTAGGTATACTTTTCACTTTTTCTCTCACACTTCCAATATCACACAAACTTTTAAACTTTTCAGGATCATGTATATATTTTTTATTCTACTCCTTTAATATCAATTATATGTATGAACTTTACAAATGTTTCAATTATTTCTTTTAACATGATTCTAATTGATGCGTTATAATTCATACGTACTTATTTCTCTATTTAAAATAGCAAAACTACTTAAAGGATTAAAAAACAAATTAAATATGGAAGTTAAGTCATGGCAGGTAGATATCGACAATAATAGCTGTGAAGGTGAAAATGGACTTGAGAATATGACAAAACGGCTCCGTGCAGTTCAAGCACTTTTATTAAAACTCACTCATTATCAAGAGCAGTATGGTATCGGTGACCTTGATACGAATAGGTACAAGACTACTTTTGGAGCAAAAATCATAGACATGACCCAGATGATTTATAATCACAACAATCCGGATGAACCAATAAATGTTGTAGAGAATGATATTAATGCTGATGATATGCCTGTTTATGATGCTGGAATACTGGATGAAGCTGAGCTATTGGTTGACATGCCTGAAATATTTGATGATGAGCTATTGGAGTCTGCTAATGACATATATGAAATCTTGGATGAAGAATACATGCCTGTATCGTATGATGATGATATGGATGCTGATGATATGCCTGAATTGGATGATGTTAACGATCAACGTTTACCTGAATTGGATGATGAGTTAATAGATGCTGATCCTGTGCTGCCTGAATTATTTGATTTTGAAAACATGCCTATAGTATACGCTGATGATTTGGATGCTTTTGTTTTGCCTGAATTGGATGATGTTAACGATCAACGTGTGCCTGAAATATTTATTGATGAGTTAATATGTAGATGATGATGTTCCTGTGCTGCCTGAAATTTTGGATTATGAAATACCTGTATTGAATGATGATCAACAAGTTCCTGCGTTGAATGGTGGTGAGTTATTGGATGATAATGAAGCATTACTTGAAAGGCTTATAGCAGAATTGCCGATTCTCGGACAAAACGTGCTAACCATATAAAATCCAGGTCGTTTTGATCCTGACACAATTATGAATCCAAGCATATATTTACGAGACACTATCAGTACTGAGCAATTTTCTGAAGACCATGACTGGCAATATACAGTTTTTGTACCAGGCAATCATTTGAAAGCAGTTCCAGAAACCGCATGAATGCTCATACTTTATATATTGAATTGGATGAATCGTGACTAACGAGCAGATCCAAAATGTTTGGAACAATTGAAAGGCAAAGGATACTGGGGGTCCTCGATTTGAGTAGATTCTATTTGAGTAGATTCGATTTGAACAGAAAATTTATTACCCACCAAAATATTCGATTTGAGTAGATTTCTCCTGTTTTCTTCGATTTGAATTGTTTACAAAACAAATATTTTTGATAAAACAGTTCAGAAAATATTTTTAAACATAAATTTTTCTGCAATAAGAGCGTGAACTTATCATATTGATCGAAAAAATCAATACTAAAGTTACAAAATTAAAGTAAAAATTTAAAAAATCGATATAAAATTAACGGTTTTAAAAAGTTCAAATTCAAAAAACCCTACAAATTGTTCGGTTAAATAACATTTGCAAGGTTCTCATATTTTTGTTTTGTTTCAAAAACATATTTTTTGTGAATTTCTGTTTAAAAACAATATGAATATATGCGTTGAAAATAAATTAAGTTATCTAAAACACATAGGTAAATTTAAGAAAATAGGTAAAATGTGCAAAAAATTATCAAAATTTTCATTGTTTTGATACATTTTTTGGACTCTGGAACAAAACATGTGATTTTGTATGGATTCTTTGCCTCGATTTGAATAGATTCGATTTGAGTAGAAATTTTTTGGAACAAAACAACTACTCAAATCGAGGACCCCCCAGTCTGGAAAAGAAGTAAATAATAATAATATATTAAATAAATAATGTGGTTCAACGTTTTTTAAGATTTTTCAAGGGGCCGTTCACTTATTTCGTTCGCACTTTAGGGGGGAGGGGGGTTTGAAAAATTGTAACAAAATGTAACATAGGGGAGGGGGGGGGGGGGGTCAAGAAGTATGTAACATTCTAATTGTCGTCTGTCTT